CACCTCCCTTCCGTAGCGCCCCTGCAGCCGACGATTCGCAATTTACGTGCGGCTTTTCTCTCGCCTGAGATAAAAGGAGAGGGGGAAAGAAATACGTCGGGGAGGGGGGAGAGGGGACACGGCGAACGTTAACCTATCTTCGGCTTGCGAATTAATTACGAGGCGGGATTAATATTCCGACTTCGCTCGCGACAATCGCCGGCGAGGTGCTAGCCTAAATCGAGACTACATCGAGACTAAATCGAGACTAAATCGAGACTAGATCGAGACTAGATCGAGACTAAATCGAGACTAAATCGAGACGAAATCGAGAATAAATCGAGACTAGATAGAGACTAAAATAGAATAAAATTGATTCGATCGGCTCCGTTCGAAAGGGGTTGGAAAGATGCGAAGCGCTGGATACAGTGATAATTAGGCGACGATGCATTTGGAATTGATGGAGTGTACCGAAAATGTCTCGCGATTCGGATATTGGGTTCCCGAGGTCATTTGAAGCAACTTTTTCCTTTACGAAAATTTTCTCCGAGGCACCGTTCACGAGTTATCAGCGAAAAACACTGGCCAATGAGAGGAGAGCACTCGGCTGGCGCGCGGCGGCCGAGCCAATCGGCGGAACCGGGTTCCGCGCGCTCGTTGGTGGAGCCGCGCCGGTGGAGCACTCGTCCCTCATTGGTCGCTGCTTTTTCGTCGATAACTCGTAAATGGTGCTTCGGAGAACATTTTCGTAAAGGACAAAGTTGTTTCAAATTACCTCGGCAAACCCCTGATTCCTCGCTTGTACAATAATTTTGAGCTTTTTTCAATTTTGACAATTTTTATCTCGCAATTTTTATTTATGTATAAAATACAGAAAAGGGAGCACACAAAAAAACACTAAAAATTAACACATTAACAAAATTAACATTAATTACCGTTTAAATGGAGAAATAAATGTATCAGCGTCCCCGAATCGTTGCACCTCGTCATAAAAAAAAATTGCAAGGGGGTGCGGTTATAGTGTTCGAGCGTGCACGGGGGGGTTGAAAACGGTTGTCCAAACGCGAGATAATCAGCCGCGAGCCTTCGGTCGCCGAACGGGGCTATTTTACTAGGGGGTTGAGACGTCAACGAACAGATGCAGAAAGCCGTCGTCGGTGATCGAGGCGCGGCAAAAGGGGGTTGGCGAGGGGGATGAAAGGGGAGGAGGCGAGACCGGGACGGAGAAAACGCGGGAAAGTGTGGCAGGGGGCGGGGGGTAACTAACGACCCCGTATAAGACTGCGTAGCTCACCACTTTGCTAAATTATATAAATCACATCCCCTTCGTCAAGGGCTCTTGCGCGAGACGCTTAATCCACCCTCCGCGCCCCGCCGCACCCCCGCCCCTGTGTCCTCCGGAAACGACGCGCGGCGCGGCGTGCCGTCAGCAACACCTCCGAGAGTAGCAACGGTAGTTACTTTGCATTAAGCAGCCATTAATTAAATCGCATTCCCGTTAATTATCCGGCCGCCTCCTCGGACCTGCGGCTCGGCTTCCGCCACGGAGACGCGACTCTTGAGAGCCTTTTTAAGGTCGACCCGACCGACCGCGCCGCGAGCAAGCAATCAACGAGTGGACAGACGGCTGCTGATCATTCTTTAATTGGTGCTCCACCGTCCCGCACACCTCGCGGGATTTGTTTTGACAGCGACTCGAGCGATTCGCGAAAAAGAACTTCCCTTCCGGTGCGGAAATTTGTCGGCGTTTCCGGGGATGCTGGGAATGGCGGGTGGTTCGCGGTGGGATTAACAGAGAGCATAGAACCTTGGAAAATTAGGCGACGATGTGTTGTTTTGTTATTCCAGGCGCGAGAATATTTTTTAGATTTTTATGTTTGGTGAACTCGAGAAACTACCCCTTTCAGTTGCTAAGGGTTTGTTTTTGTAGGGATTGGCGAGGGTAAATTGTGAACTATTATTTCGAGGTTGATACTTTTTAGCAGAATGTTCAATTGTTAAAACTCTATTTATTTTTAGCAGAATATTCAGTAGTTAGATAGTAGAATATTCAGTAGTTAGAACAAATATTTTTAGTAAAGTACTTTCAGTAGCATCAACAAAGATAAACTGTGAATTATTATTTCGAGGTTGATACTTTTTAGCAGAATATTCAATTGTCAAAACCCTATTTATTTTTAGCGGAATATTCGGCTGTTAGTGAGTAGAATATTCAGTAGTTAAAACAAATATTTTTAATAAAATATTTTCAGTAGAATCAACAAAGATAAATTGTGAACTATTATTTCTGATTTGTTACTTCTTAGC